CCTTCCCCGAACCCGCACGGCCCCCCAGGCACCCCCCTTTCCCGGCAGCGCCCCAGCTCTGCCCTCGCCGCTGCAGGAAGGAATCCCAAAGCAGCCCCCGGGCGCTGGTATTTCGTGTGCTGCTCCGTGCCAGGCGCTCCCTGAGCTTTGGTACCGCCCGCACAGGCTCTGGTGTGGAGTCCCTGGCAGCCCGGGGGCTTTGCCTGCCCTGGTGCTGCCACCAGCAACCCCCCCGCGGTGGGGTGGGAAGCAGTGATCGCTGGTGCCAGGGGAGGGAAGTGCTCTGCAGGCTTTTATCAAGCTCTTGGAGTCTTTTGCAAAGCCTGAGGTCCAGAGGCATCTTGCACAGGTGTGGAAATGGGGGCATGGAGGGCTTGTCAGTGACCAGGTGTTCTGGACAAGAAGTTGTGTGGTGCCAGTCTGCACTCCCAGCTCCATCCCTCTCCTCCATCCTTGGCTGCTGTCAGAAATGTGGGTGCTGGGGGGCACTGCCAGCCCCTCTCACTGCTGCTGGTTGTTGTGAAAAGGCAGAAAGACCTGGAAAAGCTGTGGAGCTGGGACCTTGGGGATGCCCCCTCCAGCTCTTTCCCCCTCCAGTCTATCCCATCTCTCATTGCTTGGCTCTCCAGATTCGTGGAGACTATTTGGCCTGATGCTTGTGGAGTTTTTCTCCTCCAGAAACATCCACCCACGAGTCCTCTCCCTTCCAGGAAAGCAGAGACCCGTGGCCTGCTGGCACCATCCCAGCTCTCCCAGCTCACGCAGGGGCTGCTTCACTTGCTCCAGTTTGCTGCGTGGCCAGCGGGCCCAGGGCTGCTTGAAACTCCCTTTTGAAGTAGAACTGTGGAGCACCTGCTGTTTCCTGCAGCCCCAGCTTGTCAGATCAACCCTGAGCTCCCACGGCTGCTGCCAAGGGCAGCTCTGGTGCCGCAGGAGCTGGGATGAGGTCTTGGGTTAGTAAGGATTTTGGGAGCTCTGGGAGCCTGACTCCTGTTGCTTGGTCACCAAGGTGGTTGAGAAGGCAGGAGGAGGAATGAGAGGTGCAAGAAAAAGGGACCATCTCAAAGGATGTTTTGGAAGGGAAGGTGTTTGCTGAGCTGCGTTTGGTGGGGGCCCAGCCCCACTTTGTGCTTTTGGGTTGTGTTGGGTTTTCATGATGGCCTTGCTGGGACAGGAGCCTGCAGGAGCTGGGGGCTGGTGAGGGACAATGGCCAATGTGGGTGGGGGCACAGGGGAGTCACCCGGCTCAGCCTCACACCAGCTCCCAGCCAAGAAAGGAGGGTCTGTCCTGGAAAGCTGTGGAATGGACAGTGGGAGCAAGGAGCAGCCCCTGCCTGGCCATGGCACGTGGGGAACAAGCCCATCTCAGCACTCTGGGGCTTGCCTGGGCTCGGGGACACCAAAGTGGAGTGAGGAGCAGCACCGGGACCCCCCCGGGCAGCTGGGTGAGACGCAGCCCCCGAGATGATGGAAGCAGGGGAGGCAGAGGAGCAGGGGAGGAAGAGGAGCAGGGCCCGGCTCAGGGCCCGGCAGGGGCTCTGCTCCCAGGGGCAGTAAAGGCGCCGGGATGGGGAATGCATCTCCTTGGGAATGCCGGAGGCATCCGGCAGGGCCGTTTGAGGCGCTACCGGTGCAAGACGAGGCAGGACCCGGTTCCTGCCCGCAGCTGTCGCTGGGCTCCCTCTGCAGCTCCTGGGAACTGCGGCAGCTCCTGGCACCCGGCAGCTCCAGCATCCCATCCAACAGCTCTGGTGTCCCAGCACCACCCGGCTCTGCCCAGGCAGGTGGGGGAGCACGGGGGGGGGATGGAGGGAGGCTACGGGCAGCCGGGGGGCAGAGGCTGAGCTGCAGCGAGGGGGCTGCAGCACGGGGGGCAAGGTGAGGGGAGCCTGTCCGGGGGGTGAGGCATCCCGGGGGACTGCAGTGTGCCCCCTGAGCGTGGGACCCAGCCCAGCCCTCACCACGGCTGCTCTGCACCTTGCCCGGGGGTGCAGGATGCAAAGAGGTGCAAGAGCAGCACTGGGATATGGGCTTTATTCAAACCAGCACTGAGCCCCCCCGGCAGTGCTGGCTTGGGGGGTGCTCACATCCGTGGTGGGAGCCTGTGCTGCCACCTGTCTGTGCCCACCAACTGTCTCAATATGATACAGAGTGAATGCAGACAATGAGGCTGTGTCTGGGTCCGTGGGCTGGGCCAGCCTGACCCTGGTCCCACCTTCTCCAAACCGTGTTTCGTGTCCCATGTGGCCTTGAACACCAAGTCTGTCCTGTCCCTGCTGGGCTGCCGCAGGGGGGTGACATCCCATGGGTTGAGGATTGCTGGGGGTGAAGGTGTCAGCAAGGGGGTGGCTGTGCCAGCCCAGTGGGGCTGGGAGGGCTGAAAATGCCCAGGAAAGAGGTGGGTGGGAAGTGAAGGGGCGGGGAGCTGGTTCTGTGCAGCTCAGCTGGGGCACAACGTGCCTCCCTGCCACGTGCCGGGTGCTGGAGATTCCTCTGCTCTTTGACCTCCCCTGGAGCCGGGGATGGTGTCACTCCAGGTTTCTGATTAGCCCAAACTGAAACTCCTTCTCTCTTCCCCGAAGCTGAGGCCAGCCCTGTCTTGTCCCTGCCGGCTTGTCCTCCGGTCTCTGCCCCAGGGGTGCCAGCCCTGGCCCATGTCCCAGCACCTCCAGCTCAGGGTCCCCAAGCACCCACAGCCTGGGTCTGGCCCTGCCTGATGGGGTGTCACCCCGGCAGGGGGTCACCCTCCCATGGGGACACTGAGCAGCTGCCGATGTGACTCTGGCCCCTCTCTTGCAGCACAGAGGGGTTTGGTGTCACTGGCTCCATGAGCTCATGCTGGAGCCAGGGAGGAGATGTCCCACCAGGGCTGGGATGTCCACCTTTGTGTGTCTCCTTGTGGTTCCTTGAAGACCTCTCCTGGCTCATGGGCTTCCTCCCGGCTGGATGGTGAGGCCCTGAGTGGAATTCCTGCAGGCAGCCACCCCCTGTGCCCTCCTCTGGCTTGTCCTCTGCTGCAAGGGACAACACGTGCAGGTAAGGACCCTGGTCCAGGTCCTGCCATTTGGCCGCTGTCCGTTTGGAATCGCTGCTGCCCTGGGAGAGCGACTGGGCAGGAGCAGCAGGAAGGTGGGATGTGTCACAGGTCGAGCCGGAAGGCCCCGAAGTAGCTGGCGGCAGCGTCGTTGTAGTCGATGGCCAAGGAGGAGACGGAGACAAAGAGCTCATCACCGGCCTTCAGCTCAAACAGCCCCCCCTGGTAGAGAGCGTGGAGCCCGTAGTCTGCCTCGGGTGCCCAGCACTTGGTGCCCACCCCCTTGAGCAGCAGGATGGGCTGGCTGTAGGACGTCTTCCAGTTGATGCACTGCACGAGCTGGGGCACGGAGGGGTGGGCACCGGCCCCGTCGCTGGGGTAGCGGAAGTAGATCTGGGAGTAGACGTAGTACTTGCCCGCCTGGTTGACCCGCAGCCTCCCGTCCCGGTAGGTGATGTTCTGCAGGTGGGAGAGGCTGGTGCTGGCTTCCCAGCGCGCGATGGCGTGGCGGCAGGACTGGGAGAGGTTCCCGAAGCGCTTGGAGCTCCCTGGGGAGAAGGAAGGGGCACTGGGGGGGGGTGAGATGCCCTGGGGAGCAGCCATCAGGGTCACAGAAAGGAAAGGAGGGGCTCTGACTCTCCCAGTCATCCAGCTGGGAAGGCTGGAGAATCATAGAACCATTTTGGTTGGAAAAGGCCTTTAAGATCATCCAGTCCAACTGTTAACCCAGCACTGCCAAGGCCGTCACTAAACCTCTCCTGGCACAACTTGAGGCCATTGCCTCTTGTTCTATTGCTTGTTCCCTGGGAGAAGTGACTGACCCCTCATCACTCCAATCTCCTTCCAAGAAACTGTAGAGAGCAAGAAGGTCTCCCCTCAGCCTCCTTTTCTCCAAGGTGGTCTTGGACTGGAGAGGAGAACCATCTCTCCAACTGCCAACAAATACATCCTCCCATCCAGCTCCCCTGCCCTTTGGGTGAGATCTTTGCCCTGTTCCCACCTCGGAAACACGACTCACCATCCTGGGCCAGGCTCTGTGGGCGGAGGGTGAGGTGTGCTGAGGGCTTGTTGGCTGTTCTGGGACGTGCCTGCCCCTCCGAGGTGTTCAGGTAGCTCCTCCGGGCTTCTGCAAGGGAAGGGACAGGGCTGCAGAGGGCAGGGCACCCGGGGACACCCAGCCCTGAGCAGGCACAGCAGGGGCTGCCCCACTGACCCGCCAAAGAGGGAGCTTATTTGGGGAGGGAAAGGTCACGTCAATCATTATCTAACAGGGGACCTGCTGTCCCCTGGGGCCCTGGTTCTCCAGCTGGACACACAGTGTTGTCCCCCAGCCTGTCCCCTGGGGACACAGGGCTGTGGGACACTGCCCAGCTGGCAGGACTGTGCCCGGTGGAGTTTGTCCCTGGAGGGGCTGATCCCCCCATCCTGCTGGCACCCCCGGCCGCACACCGAGCCCTGGGCATGAGGGGGTGGCTCCGTCTGTCCGGCTGCACCCCCGCCCCGGGGCCAGGCCAAGGACTCACCCTGCACCGCGCTCCTGTGGATCACCTTCTCTGTCACCTGGACCAGCAGAGAAGAGGAACAGCCCCATGGTTAGAGGTGAAACGCTCCCCAGAAATTGCCCTCTGCCCCACCTCTGATGGGGAAACTGAGGCAGGAAGGCAGATGGGACATCTCCCATCAGCTCTCCTGTCCTCTCGTGGTCCCCGAAGTCCAGGCTCACCGTGGCCACGTAGGCTTTGATGGTGTTGGCCAGCTTGAGGCAGGACTGGTTGGTGATCAGCTCCTCCAGGCTGGAGCCCTCCTGCTGCTGGTTGATCACCTGCAGACAGCGCAGCTCCTCCGTGCTGGTGGGGGCCTGGGCCTTGAGCTGGAACAGAAACCCAGGACACCTGCATCAAAGCCTGGGCAGGAGAACAGCCCTGAGCTGCCCTGGCCCTGCAGGGGCTGGGATGGGGCAGGACCACTGGGATGGAGCAGGGTGGTGGGGGCTGGGGGGAGCCCAGGGTCTTCAATCTCCGTGCTGGTGGGGGCCTGGGCCTTGAGCTGGAAAAAAAACCCCAGGACACCTGCATCAAAGCCTGGGCAGGAGAACAGCCCTGAGCTGCCCTGGCCCTGCAGGGGCTGGGATGGGGCAGGACCACTGGGATGGAGCAGGGTGGTGGGGGCTGGGGGGAGCCCAGGGTCTTCAATCTCATTGTATCCTGCTCTGATCCTTGGCAGGAGCGAGTCCTGCTCATCCCGGCTCCCTGGGAACACAACAGCCCCTTGCAGCAAGCTCCAGCAGGAGGAGGAGCTGAGACACCAGGAGGAGGCAAGACATGAGGATTCTGCAAACTCCAGGGCACCAGGTAAGGAAAATTAACTCCAGCTTCCCATCCTCCACCTCCTTCACCTCGTCCTCCCCTACCCCGGGGGCACGAGGCTGCTCCAGCAGTCGATCCCAGCCTTGGCTCTTGGTGCTGAGGTGGGAGCTGCAGCCACAGCTGGGACGTGCCCAGGCAGCCGGGTCCAGGCTCTCCCTGCTTCCCTGCTGCGGAGCTGATCCAGGCAAGCTCGGAGGCTTCCTCACCTGTGCTGGGTGTGGTGTGGGCCTGCAGCCCTCCCTGCGTGTGGCCCAGGCTCTGCAGGGCAAGTGGCTCCTTCCTGGGGCTCCCGGGGCTGCCCCAGGTGTCCCAGCCATGGCATCACAGTGGGGGGACAGGCAGGGCTGCCTCTGGGGTGTCACTGTGCTGCTGGTTGAGGTGTGGGGAAACTGAGGCACGGATGGGACAGCTGCCCTGGAATCAGTGTGCCAGGAGGTGGGAATGAACACCAGCACCTTGCCAAGCCTACTTTTAGCATCTGGGTCATTCCCAGATCCCAGGACAGAACCCAGGAGTCCTTAGGCTTGGCCACATTGTCACCTGGGGCTTGGCCACCTCCAGCACCGGCACAGCCCCCGTGTCCCCGTGTCCCTGCTCATTCCAGGACGTGCTCCTGCTTGGGATGAGCACAGACCCCGGTGCCAGCAGCAGGACCGTGTGAGGGCAGATCAAAAGGGGGGCTTCGGGGGATTTGGGGCAGTATTGGGGCTGCCAGGAGCTGTGCTGGGTCCCAGCACTGCCTGATCACGCTAATTGCCTTGATGAACTCTGGCCGGATCGGCACCACCAGCTCCCCCTCCGCAGGGACCCCTCCCCCTGCCCCCTCCCCCTGCCCTCCCGCTGGGTGGGGCGTCACATTCAGGAAAAAAGGGGGAAGTTTTGTAAAAGTGGGGGCAGGGGCAGCACCCCCGTGAGGGGGTAAGGGCAGGATGGTCCCACCCAGGGATTCCATGTCCCCGGAGATGCTGAGCTCCGACTACCCCTCCCCAGCATGGATCCCACGCAGGGATTCAGGGACCAGACTCTGGAATTAGCCCAAAGAGCCCATTTAAGTGGCTTTCTCCTCCCTCCTGCGGCTCCGTCTGCCACATTCCCCTTCTCCAGCCCCTTTCATGTAAATCCCTCACAGCGGGTGTCACAGGGATGGAAACAAAGCCCAGCGCGAGGGCTGGAAGCTGCTCCAAGGCGGCTCCCGCATCCAGAGCCAGAGCTTTTCCCTTTTTCCCCCCCCGACTCTGATGTGGGTTTTGTGCAACGCTCGCTGCTGCGGGACCCTTTTCCTGCTGCCCGCCCCCGCGGCGGGGAAGATGGGAGAAGCTGCCAGCCCTCCTGAATGTCCCTCTTCCCACAGCAAACATCCCTCCTGGGGGGTGATTCCTCCTCCTGGACGCTCCGGCTGCTCGGGAATTGCCGTGGGCACGAATCTGCCCCCAGCACCTGGAGGGGGGTGTCTGTGAGCAGGATCACGTCCCAGTTTGGGAAGGGTTTGGCACGAGTGACGCTGCGAGGAGGGGGTGGTGGTGGCTGGGTCTCAGCATGAGGTTTTGGGGTGATTAAGCCGGAGCATGGACCCAAGAGCTGCTGTTCGGGGGGTGGGGGGAAGAAG